TTGGCAAGCATATAGCATCAAGAAAAATGAGAGCCCAGCTGGCATGGCTCAGTGGTTGAGCGTTGACCTATGAACCAGGAGTTCATGATTCGATTCCTAGTCAGGGCACATGCCTGGGTTACAGGCTTGATCCCCAGCGTGGGACATGCAGGAGGCAGCCGATCAATGATTCTCTCTCATTATTGATGTTTCTGTCTCTCTCCCCCTTCCCTTCCTCTCTGAAATCAATAAAAATATTTTTTTTAAAAAAGAGACTGAACCCAAGTAAGTAAAATCAGAAATGAAAGAGGAGAGATTACAACCAACACCACAGAAATACAAAGGATAATTAAAGAATACTATGTATGCCAACAAACTGGATAATAGAAGAAACAGATAAATTTCAAGAAACATACAACCTTCCAAGACTAAATTTAAAAAAAAAGACCAATTGCTAGCAACGAAATTTAAGCAGTAATAAAAAACTCCCAACCAGCCGAAACCGGTTTGGCTCAGTGGATAGAGCGTTGGCCTGCGGACTGAAAGGTCCCGGGTTCGATTCCGGTCAACGGCATGTACCTGGGTTGCGGGCACATCCCCAGTGTGAGATGTGCAGGAGGCAGCTGATCAATGTTTCTCTCTCATCGATGTTTCTAACTCTCTATCTCTCTCCTTTCCTCTCTGTAAAAAATCAATAAAAAATATATAAAAACAAACAAACAAACAAAAAAACCTCCCAACCAACAAAATCCCAGGACCAAACTAAACTGAGTCTCCTGCATGTGTACTACTATTTGTAATACTTTAAACAAGAAAATAAAATTAAAAAATAATAATAATGATAAATAAATAAATAAATAAAAATAGAGTGAGTCTCCTGTAGGCAGCATATAGGTGGGTCTTGCTTTTTTTATCCATTCTACCACCCTATATCTTTTGATAGGAACACTTTAGTCCATTTACATCTAAAATAATTATTAATAGGTACGTGCTGATTGCCATTTGTTCATTGTTTTGGTTTTTGTTGTTGTTTTTCTCTGTTTCTTCTTCTTCTGATCTCTTTTCTGCTGATTTGATTTTCTTTTGTGTTTTGATTGAATACCTTTCTCTGTTTTTTATGCATTTTTTGTAGGTTTTTGGTTTGTGGTTACCATGAGGTGTGTGTGTGTGTGTGTGTGTGTGTGTGTGTGTGTATATACACTAATAAAAGGGTAATATACTAATTAGACCGGGTTGACCGGACATCTTCCAGACGTCCGACTTCCTTCCAGACAAAGCCACAGTGGCGGGGGCCGAGGCAGAGGCGGTTAGGGGCAATCAGGCCGGCAGGGGAGCAGTTAGCGGGTGTCCAGGCCGGAAGGGGGCCAGATAGGGGGTGGCCAGGCTGGCAGGGGTGCAGTTAGGGGGCGACCAGGCTGGCAGGGAACCAATTAAGGGGTGGCCAGGTCTACAAGCAGAAACAGTTAGGGGCGATCAGGCAGGCTGGCAGCGGAGCAGTTAGGGGGTGATGAGGCCAGCAGGGGGGCAGTTAGGGGGCAACCAGGTTGGCAGTGGGGTAGTTAGGGGGCAACCAGGCCAGCAGGGGGGCATATGGGGGCAGTCAGGCTGGCAAGCAGAGGCAGTTAGGGGCGATCAGGCAGGCAGGCAGAGTGGTTAGGGGCGATCAGGCAGACAGGCAGGTGAGCGGTTAGGAGCCAGCAGTCCCAGATTGCGAGACAGATGTCCAACTGCTGGTTTAGGCCCCATCCCCCAAGGGGTCCCAGATTGGAGAGGGTGCAGGCCAGGCTGAGGGGACCCCCCCCCCCGCTCCTGTGCATGAATTTCATGCACCAAGCCTCTAGTATCTATATATATAAAAGCCTAAGCGACTTTAAGACCGAATGACCAGAACGAAAGGTCGACCAGTCAACCAGTTGCTATGATGTGCATTGACCACCAGGGGGCAGATGCTCAGCATAGGAGCTGCCCCTGATGGTCAGTGCGCTCCCACGGCCAGCCAACCTTCCCCAGTCCCTCCCCCCCGCCAGTAAACTCCATGCACGAACTTCGTGCACCTGACCTCTAGTTGTGTGTGTGTGTGTGGGTGTGTTTGTGTGTGTGTGTGTGTGTGTGTGTGTGTGTGTGTGTGTGAGAGTATTTTAAGCTGATCGGTGTTTAAGTTCAAATGCATTCAAAATGCACTAAAGTTTTACTCCCCCTCCACTCTATGTTTTGGACATCATGTTTTTATTTTCTTGTTTTTTGTATCCCTTGACTATTGTAGTTATAGTTAATTTTGCTATATTGTCTTTTAACCTTCATATTAGCTTTTTAAGTGATTGATTCACTGTGTTTATTGTATACTTGTCTTTACCAGTGAGAATTTTTCTTTCCTGTATTTCCTTATTCCTGGTTATACCTTTTCTTTCCTGCAAATGAAGACCCTTCAACAATTCTTGTAAAGCTGGTTTAGTGGTGGTGAACTCCTTTAGTTTTTGCTGGGAAACACTTTATCTCCTTCAGTTCTGAATGATAACCTTGCCAGATACAGTATTCTAGGTCATTGGTTCTTTTCTTTTAGCACTCTAAATATTTTCTGCCACTCCCTCTGACCTGTAAACTTGCTTCTGAGAAATCAGCTGATAACTTATGGGATTTCCCTTAAAGTTTCTGACTTGTTTCCTTCTTGAGGCCTTGTCTCTTTATCCTTAACCTTTGCTATTTTAATTGCAGTATGTCTTGGTTTAGGCCTCTTTGGGTTCATCTGTTTGGAACTCTGTGCTTCCTGGACCTGAATGTGTTTCCTTTCCCGGATTAGGGACATTGTCAGTCATTACTTCTTCAAATATACTTTCTGCTCCTTTCTCTCACTCTTCTTCCACTGGAATCCCTATAATGTGGATGTTAGGGCATTCAGTGTCCCAAAAGTCTCTTAACCTCATTTTTAAAAAATTCTTTTTTCAGCCCTGTCGCATGGTTCAGGGGTTGAGCATCAACCTGTGAACCAGGAGGTCATGGTTCAATCCCTAGTCAGAGCATATGCCTGGGTTGCGGGCTTGATCCCCAGTGTGGGGCCTGCAGGAGACAACCAATCAACCAATCAGTGATTCTTTCTCATCATAGATGTTTCTCTCTCTTCCTCTCCCTCCCTCTCTGAAATCAAGGAAAATATATATTTTTAAAAAATAATAATAAAATATTATTATATTATATTCCTTCTAATGTGTTTTTCATTTCAGCTATTGTATTCTTTATTTCTGATTGGTTCTTTATTGCATTTTCTAACCCTTTGTTAGAAATGCTCTCTGAGATTCTCTATTTTACTCTCGAGCTTATTCAGCATCCTTACAACCATTTCTTTGTATTCTTTTTTTTTTTTTTTTTAAATATATTTTATTGATTTTTTACAGAGAGGAAAGGAGAGAGATAGAGAGTTAGAAACATCGATGAGAGAGAAACATCGATCAGCTGCCTCCTGCACATCTCCCACTGGGGATGTGCCCGCAACCCAGGTACATGCCCTTAACCGGAATCGAACCCGGGACCTTTCAGTCCGCAGGCCGACGCTCTATCCACTGAGCCAAACCGGTTTTGGCTCTTTGTATTCTTTATTAGGCAAATGAGTTATCTCCATTTCATTAGAGTTTTTCTCTGGATTTTTTAATTGCTCCTTCATTTGGGACATATTCTTCTGCTCCCCATTTTGTTTGACTTTCTGTGTTTATTCCTATGAGTTCGATGAAATAGCTTTTTCTCAATCTGTGTGCCAGATGTTCTTGGTAGGGCAATTATAGTTGGGCAAGGCACGTGCCAAAAGGAGTGGGTTCCGGGCAGGGCCACCTAGTGTGTGTTTCCTTGCCCTTTGGCTCTGGGCGGGGCTATCCTGTATGGGTTGCACTGCCCAGTATGTGTGCAATGTGCCCTGTTACTTTAATTGTCTGTTCCCTGAACCTGATCTGGGCAGGGCTACTCTGAGTGCATGTGTTGCAGTATCCCAGTGTACCCACACTTTCTCTGGTCACATGCAGGTGCTCCCCACTATTTCTGCACTTTCTCTGAATAGGACAGCCTTGTGAACAGCACAGCATTTTGCTGGTTCCACACTCTGGGCAGCGGGTGTGCCGCGTGCAACCCAGCAGGTGCATGCTACCACACCCACCGGATCTCTCTCCAGGTGAAGGGGCCTATTTACATGGGCTGTGGTGCTGTCCTGCTCCTGTTGGATCTAGTTCTGGGAAGGGTGGCTGGGGATGCGCTACAGCAGCCCTGCAGCTCGACCAGAGAACTGGGATAAAGCGCCCGCCCCATCCAAGTGCAGGAGAATCGTAAACAATGATGCTCACCAGTCCCTCCATTCCAGACAATTCCCTCAGCGCCCAGAGGACACTCTCAGTTCCCAGCCTTCTCTATACAGTCTTCCTTTCTGTTTTGTGCAGAAGCTGTTCCAGTTGTCTCTTAGATATCACCCAGAGGAACTGCTGTATATATAGGTGTAAATTTAATGTGTCCTTAGAGTCCTCCTACGCTGCCATCTTTGACTGGCTTCCAGATGTCATAACTTCCAAAGAGAATTTCATCTATGTAAACTATACTATTGGTCAGACTATATGTGACAAAAGTTTTAGAAATGCTCAGAAGGAAACTCATAACCTTAAATACTATGCAACAAAAATGTAAGAAGGGAAATAAATTAATGTCTTTTATCTCAGTCATTTCAAAGTATGCCAGATCCTTCTGTTTTAATTTTATTTATAACATAAAAATAACTTATAGCATGATATAAATTAGAAATTTGGTTTTATTATACTTGAAATTTTTTATTACTTTATATGACTTTTATGATCCAGACTTGCCCTTCCAGATCAGACTTATCCAGGGATTACTCAACTCATTGGTCTCTGACAGCACAAGGAGGTGGGTCGGGATTACTCAACTCATTGGTCTCTGACAGCACAAGGAGGTGGGTCGGGAATGCATCCTTGAGGCCTTGGCCTGGGCAGCAAGCAGCCTCCCTCACTCAGAGAGTCCTCCTCCTCCACCAGGGGTACAAGAAGCTGGCTGCACTGAAGCTGGATGACATTAGTCACTGTCTGACAGAGCAGCAGGAGGACTTTGCTAGCAAGACCGCTCAGTACCAGCAGGAGATGCGGCACCTCCATCGGATGCTGCAGGACAAGCAGGATATCCTGGATGAGGCGCTGCAGGAGAAAAGGTAGGGCTGCCCCACTCATATCGTGCTTGTGTTTTTGGATGTTGGTAGAATTTTCCAATAAAACCCTCTAGATCTGTTTTGTTTATTTAATTGCTTACTTTTGCTTTTGTATTTTAGTCTTATCTGAATTTTTTTTTAAACAGAAGGGGCTTTTTTTTTTTTTTAAATATATTTTATTGATTTTTTACAGAGAGGAAGAGAGAGGGATAGAGAGTTAGAAACATCGATGAGACAGAAACATCGATCAGCTGCCTCTTGCACATTCCCCACTGGGAATGTGCCCGCAACCAAGGTACATACCCTTGACCGGAATCGAACCTGTGACCCTTGAGTCCGCAGGCCGACGCTCTATCCACTGAGCCAAACCGGCTAGGGCCAGAAGGGGCTTTTTAAAAAATATATTTTATTGATTTTCCACAGAGAGGAAGGGAGAGGGACAGAGACCCAGAAACATCGATGAGAGAGAAACAGCAATCAGCTGCCTCCCGCACACCTACCACTGGGGATGTGCCCGCAACCAAGGCACATGCCCTTGACCAGAATCGAACCTGGGACTTCTTAGTCCGCAGGCCGACGCTCAATCCACTGAGCCAAACCAGTTAGGGCTCTGAATTTAATGTTGCTCTTGATTTTTATTTGCTCCTTACTTTGTTTTCTTTTTTAAAATTTCCCCAGCAATTGACATGTGTAAGTTTAAGGTGTACAATGTGATGACTTAATACATGTATATATTGCAAAATGATTACCACATGCCGAAACCGGTTTGGCTCAGTGGATAGAGCGTCGGCCTGCGGACTGAAAGGTCCCAGGTTCGATTCCAGTCAAGGGCATGTACCTGGGTTGCGGGCATATCCCCAGTAGGAGATGTGCAGGAGGCAGCTGATCGATGTTTCTCTCTCATCGATGTTTCTAACTCTCTATCTCTCTCCCTTCCTCTCTGTAAAAAATCAATAAAATATATTAAAAAAAAAAATGATTACCACAATAAGGTTAAAACATCCTTCGCCTCACATAATTACCATGTTGTTGGTGTAGTGATAACATTTAAGACCTACTCCCTTATCTACTCTCAAGGACACCGTACAGTATCGTTAACTGAGGTCACCATGCTATACAGTACATCCCAGCTTCTCATTTGCTTTAATCCCTCCTTGAAAATTTTCTGTTGTTTGAATAGTGGACCTTCTAAATCAACTTACTCCTCTAATTGTCCTTCCCTTTTTCTTCTTTTACATCTCTGATATTTTTGTTTTATTCCATTTTCTTGGGAGATATTATAAATTTTAGATTAAATGTTTTACTTCCTTTTTTTGTATTTATTGCCAAGAACATTAAAATCTCCTTTTTGCAAGATTATAGTGATAAGATTAGAGGTGCATTTTGTTCTCTGTGGATATAAGGTACTATATCAGTTACACCTTTATCCTTTAAACTTGCGATAGACAAAATATTGCCAGTGTATTAAACACATTGGGGAATATCGCAGGCTTTGTGAAGGTGAACTTGTGGTCCCTCACACTTAAGTCCGCCCTTTCCTAATGGCTGTGTTGCCTTTGACAGACTGGAATATAAACTGATGCCTGCAGAAGAAGAATAATGATGCTCAGATGTGATTTTCTTCAAGTTTTAGTAGGATCCATGTATTTGGTGCCATGCAGAATGCAGTTATCTGCTTCCCATCAGCCAGATGCTTCTTAATGCCAAGCAAAATGAAGTCTTATCTAACATGGTTTCTGTAGTCACAGAAGTTCTTATCAGTCTGAATAGTCACTTTGTAAAAAGTTGAGACAATACCAAGTTTCTTGCCAAACAGGAGGCTTAGAATTCCATTAATAGAATGGAACTTTATTTTTTGCTTTCTCTCCATTCCATTTTTTGCCCTTTAATTGTTTAAAACTTATATATTCTTTGAGAGTTACCCTTGAAATTTCACCCTGGATATTTAACATTAAAAAATATATTTGATCAGCATACCTACATTTCTTCCCCCCAAATGCAAGCTCTAATGCTTTAATCTAATTATTTCCCCTTTGGTTTATATGATGTTATCTAGTATCATTAGATATAACTATGTCATTTTATGTCATTATTTTTATCCATCCCAAATTAAATAATACTATTTTTATATAGTTGTTTATTTTTATTTACCTACAGTTGGCCAATTTCTTTGCTTGCTAATTGTTAAAATCAAGACAACTAGCCCAAAATAGAATTGCTTATGCTAAGCCCCATGTCACCAAACAAAGACTAAATGTACAATTTCAGCTCTTGCAGAAATGGAGTCTTAAATCAGTCATGTAGGAATCACCTGATTAGCACTAGTTATGTAATCTACCTAATAGGCCTCCTTCCAATAACCAGCTGCTTTTTCGCCTCATTTAACTTCCTTGTTCCTGCTCCCTTCTGCCTATAAAATCCTTTATTTTATACAGCTCATTGGAGCTCCTTTCTGTCTGCTAGATTGGATACTGCCCAATTTGAATTGATTTTTGCTCAAAAAAAAAAAGAAGCCCTTAAAAATATGCCTCAGCTAATCTTTGAACATATTCTTTCTTGTATCTTAGAATAGTTTATTTCTCAAATTAGTTTCCTTCTTCCTAAAATACATTATTTAGAAGTTTATTTAGTAAGAGGATGTTGGTAGTAAGCTTTTTTAGTTTTGTTTATCTGAAAACACTGGATTTTGACCCCAGTCTTGTAAGATGATTTTTGCCAGGTATAGAATTCTACATTGACAGGTTTTTTTTCTCTCAGCATATTCCATTGTCTTCTCTGTTTCATTTTTGCTGTTATGATGTTTTTTGTCATTTTTTTTTTTAGAGGTTCATCTTGTCCCGGCCACTGTTGCTCAATGGTTAGAGTGTCATCCCAGGCACTGAAAGGTTGCAGGTTCAATTCCTAGTCAAAGGCACATACCTGGGTTGCAGGTTTAATCCCTGACCCGAGTCAGGGCGCATGTGGGAAGCCACAAATTGATGTATCTCTCTCACATTGATGTTTCTCTCCCCCTCCCCCCCTCCTTTCCGTTCTCTCTGAAAGCAATGGAAAAATATCCTCCAGTGAAGATTAACAACAACAACAAAAACCACACACAAAGTAGCAGGTTGGATTACAAAACAAAATCCAACTGTATGCTGCGTTCAGGAGACACATCTCAGCTGCAAGGACAAACATAGACTCAAAGGAAAAGGATGGTAAATGATACCCCAAAGCAACGAGGCATGCAGCCTGCCAGCCACGAGTTTGACATGCTTGCTCCAAAGCAAATGGCATCCAGAGAAAAGTGGGTATAGCCATACTTATATCAGACTAAATAGATTTCAAGCTAAAAAAGGTAATGAGACGAAGATGGCATTTTATAATGATAAAGGGGACATATCAATATATATGCACCAATCAGAGAGTACCAAAATATAAAAAGTAATTACTGATAATAGAACTAAAGGCAGAAACTGACAAAAACACAATTATAGTAGTAAACCTAACTACCCCATTGTTATCTATAGATAGATCATTCAAACAGAAAATCAATAAGACATTAATATTGACCTTAAATGACACATTAGACCAATTGCACATAATTGATATTTACAAAGTTTTCATCCCAAAACACCAGATTATACATTCTTCTTTAGTGCATATGAAACATTCTCAAAGATAGACCATATGTTGGGACACAGAACTAGCCTCAATAAGTTCAAGATTGAAATCATACCAAGTATATTCTCCAAACACAATGCTTTGAAATTGGAAACTGCACAAAGAAAGCAGGAAAAAAATCACAAATATATGGAGATTAAATAACATGCTACTAAACAATGACTGGGTCAGAGAAGAAATAAAAGAAAAAAGAAAAAAAAATGCATAGAGACAAGTGAGAATAATATGACATCAAAATTTAGGGAATTCATACAAAATGGTTATAAGAGAGAAATTTATATCATTACAGGCCTACCTCAAGAAACAAAAATCTCAAATAACATTTCACCATATAGAACTAGAAAAAAAGAACAATCAAAGCCCAAACTCAGTAGAAGGGAGGAAATAATAAAAATTAGATCAGAATTAATAAAATAGAAAACAAAAAGACAATAGAAAAAACTAATGCAACAAAGAATTGGCTCTTTGAAAACATTTTAATTAGGAAAAAGAGAGAAAAGGCTCAAACAAAATCGGAAATGAAAAAGAAGTTACAGTGGACCCCACAGAAATACAAAGGACTATACCAGAATGCTGTGACATGCTACATATGCCACCAAATTCAATAGCCTAGAAGAAAAAGATAAATTCTTAGAAATACATAACCTTCCTAGACTAAACCATGAAGATCTGGAAAATCTAAATAGATTAATCAACAGTAAGAAAATTTAAAGAGTCATCAAAAACCTCCCAAAAAGTAAAAGTCCAGAACCAGATGGTTATACTAGTGAATTCTACCAAATATTTAAAGAAGACATAATATCTATTCTTCTCAAACTCATGAAAAATTGAAGAGGCAATACTTCCTAATTCATTTTACAGGCCATCATTATCCTGAAACCAAAACCTGGCAAGGACAACACACAAAAAAGGAAATTACTGACCAATAACTCTGATGAATATAGATGCAACAATCTTAAACAAAATACTAGCAGGTCAAATACAATACATTAAAAAGATAAATTGGTCCCATGTGATACATCATAGCAATAAAATAAAGGATAAAATCATATGATCGTATCAATAGATGCAGATAATGCATTTAATAAGATACTACATCCAGTTATGATTAAAATGTTCAATAGAATGGGTATAAAAAGAAAGCTCACCATAATAAAGGCCATATATGACAAACCCTCAGCTAATATATTGAATGTTGGAAAACTGAAAGCTTTTTCTCTAAAATCAGGAATAAGATAAGGATGCCCATTCTTGGCATCACCACTCTTATTCAACATAGTGCCGGAAGGTGTAGCCAGAGCAATCAGGCAAAAGAAAGAAGTAAAGGCATCCAAATTAGGAATGAAGAAGTAAAATTATTAACTTTTTGCAGATGACATAACTCTTTAACATCAAAAAGCTATTAGAGCCCTGGTTGGTTTGGCTCACTGGATAGAGCATCGGCCTGCGGACTCAAGGGTCCCAGGTTTGATTCCGGTCAAGGGCATGTACCTTAGTTGCGGGCACATCCCCAATGGGGGGCGTGCAGGAGGCAGCTGGTCAATGTTTCTCCCTCATCAATGTTTCTAACTCTCTATCCCTCTCCCATCCTCTCTGTAAAGAATCAATAAAATATATTAAATTTTAAAAAAAGCTATTAGAAACAAATGAAAAAAAATACAGTAAAGTTATAGGATACAAAATCAATGTACAAAAATCCATTGCCTTTGTATAGACTAACAATGAAATTTCAGAAAAATGAAAAAAGCTTTTTCATTTGCAATTCCATCAAAAGGAATAAAATTCCTAGGAATAAACTTAAAGGATGTGAAGGACCTATGCACTGAAAAACCACAAAAGGACTTTTAAAATATCCATGATGCCTTCATTACATTTCTATTATACAACTCATTAATATCATATATTTTTCTGTACTGCATTCTGGGTGATTTTCTCTGCTCAACATTCCAGTTTACTAATTCTCTCTTTGGTCATATCCAATGTACTGTTTACAGCGGTCACCAACGGTGGTCCATGAGGTCCGAAAGGTTGGTGACTGCTGGTTTAGTATTTTCAGTGGGTTCTTTTCCTGATTGTCTCAAAAATGGCTTTTTACTCTTTTTTTAAAAAATATATTTTATTGATTTTTTTACAGAGAGGAAGGGAGAGGGATAGAGAGTTAGAAACATCGATGAGAGAGAAACATCGATCAGCTGCCTCCTGCACACCCCCTACTGGGGATGTGCCCACAACCAAGGTACATGCCCTTGACTGGAATTGAACCTGGGACCTTTCAGTCCACAGGCTGACGCTCTATCCACTGAGCCAAACCGGTTATGGCTGGCTTTTTACTCCTGATACACTACAGTCAGGGCCTGGGGATGCCCAATCATGGGGAACAATATAGATTCAAACGCCAGATGTATTTGCAAACGGAAGACTCTTACCCTCACAGGAAGGTTTCTTTTGAAGATTGGCAGGTTTCCCACCAAAACATCCTGTCTGTGAGGGTCATCCTTGTGCCTCCATTTCCCTGCCTAATTCTGGAGCACATAGTTCAGGGTGTATCTGGGAAGAAGAGGAAAAACATGGAGAGTTTTGGGTTTGGTCACACCCAGTTTTCATGGGCCCAAGACCTACTCTCCACTCCATAGAAAGCTGGGTTCTTGCATGGACTTTGGCCTCAAAGAAATACCAACATTTTGTTTACCCACCTCTGTGGTTTCAGCTTAGTCTTCAGTTTTTCTGCCCTTAGAGATTTCCTATTGTTTGTTTTTAGTTTAGCCATACATTTATCCTGATTCGTTGCTGTGATTTGTCAGACATCTGGGTGTTTTTGTGCTAGAAACAAAAGTCTGGAGGCTTGGGGGGACATGGTTTACTTAAGTAGTGCCCAACCCTCAGTGGGCATCATGGGACTTGGAAGGAGTAACAGTTCATAAGAAAAGTGAAAACTGAACAAGTGGGCATGTCACTGGCCTCCCTGAATCTCAGTGTTTTCTTCCTTAAACAACAGTGCTAAGCCCACCTGATAATTCAGTTTCTAACATTTTCCATAACCATCTCCCATTGTCTATGAAGCTGGCCTCCTCACAGTCCCCCAAAGGGCTCATCATCCAGGGAAGTGGGGGCTGATACCCTGGTCTGTTCCCCCAGGGGACCACGGCCCTGTGAGGACATGGATACCTTTGTCTGCCCTGTTTCCTGAGCCCACATGGTGCTTGTCACACAGTCCTTGCTCAGGAAAATCTGCTTCATCGTCCTTTCGTTTTCTCAAGCCTGTTTCCCTCCGGGCACTCACCCTCTTGGCACATGGTCTAGGCCAGTCGTCTCTGTGTCCTCCATTAGGAGCCCCATTCCCCTGTGGTTCCCTCCTTACCTCGTACTAATTCTATTTTTTAAATGATTGATTCCAGAGAGGGAGGGAGAGAGAGGAACATCAATGTGAGAGAGACGTCGATCGGTTGCATCCCATACACGTCCTGCCTGGGGATCAAACCCTGCAACCTAGGCATGCACCTGACCAGGGGTCGAACCCACGATCTTCCTGTGCACGGGGGTCACTCCAACCAGCTGAGCCACCAGGCCAGACCCCTTACTAATTCTTTATGTCTGGGCCCACAGTGGCTCGATGGTGGGTGCCTGTGAAAGGTGCCCGAGTGTTGGCCAGGTCACAGTGGGGACAAGCAGAGGGGACAGAGGAGCAGCCTAGAGGGCGCACGGTACATGGGTGCTCTCGGCCGGGCCATTGTGCTGTGTATATAGGTCAGCCACTTCAGTTATTGTATCTTATGTTTATGCAGTATAATTCTGTAGAAAAACAAAGAGTAGGTACATTGATGTCAACGTGAAGGCAATGGCAACATTGGAGAGGAAGGGTAAGTTGTGTTCAGCCGGTGCCTTAGTCTTCCTTTCTGTTTCCAGGGGACCTCGGTGTTTCGTGCAACACTGGGAGTCCCGGCTTCCCAACCGGAGCCCGCTGGGCTCTGTTCTCTGGTGCAAGCAAACCTCCATTGAGTGCTTGCTGCCTTAGGGTTCGTGGGCCATCCAAGCATTTTTTAATTGTGTGGCTTTAAACTTTCCCTTTGTTTTGGTTATTTCTCAGAGCAGTGGAAGGTGAGCTTGAAGTTGTTTGGGAGTCTACCTCCAAGGAAAACCAAAGAATCCGAGAACTTCTCCGGGCGACACTGGAGAGGACAGGCGTGTGGACCGGCACCAGAGCCTCCGAGGATCCCCGCCTCGAGGGCCTCGCTCAGGGCGACGTGCTGGATGGCTGCAGCCTCAGCTACTGTGACATGAAGCCGCCTCCCTCCCCCCGCCAGGGTCTGCAGGAGCCCCTGGGCTAGGACCTGGGCCCGAAAAGTCTGCCTTGCCCAGAACTGGAAAAGGCAAACTCCCACCTAACAGTGTTTTCCTCTCAGGGCCAGGAAGAAATAAACTGTCTCAGAAGCTTAATTCATGTTTTACATTCTGCTTCACTTTAACAATGTGCTACTACACTCTATGCTAGCCAGGGCGTGTCTTCTTGCCACGCTGCCATTGAGAATGGCTCGTGAGACCCCCTGCTCGGGTAACGCCCGATGAGCTGGCCCATCGCCTGGCTCCTAGAAAGCACGGAGGGAATGGCCAACGGGACCAGCTCGCGTGCTGTGTCAGGTCGGTCTATTGGCTGCGCCCAGCAGGGGAGCAGCAGCGAGGGTCTCTGTGTATCAGCTCTGGGTAGCATTTTGTTGTTCGGTAGAAATCTAGGTGCTGGTACCCATGCAGCGGTAAGTTGTGCAAAACGTGTTGCGCCCTCTCCCTAAGCTTTCTCTCTCCTCCCGGGAAGGTACTTCTTGCGGGGTCACACAGTCCCCTCCCCCTTTGGGAGCCTCACTTTGAGCACCAAGGGGGGCCCCGCCCCTGCCACACCGAGAAGGATGCTGGGGGCTGTGGTTCTGCTCCGCTCTGTGCCACCTCCTTGGTTAGACTGTCCCAGCCTCTCAGGACCAGCCACTGGGACTTGCTGCTGGTGATGCCAGCTAACGGGCTGCATGCCCCAGCACTGAAAGAACCCGGGCAGCAGGCCCCAGAGGACCCTAGGCAGTGGTGCCGAGGGTGGAATCCTGGGGCACGTTTTACAAAACCCCTCCTCACTGAGGCCTGTGTTGTTCAGATGAGCAAATAAGCCCTGGCATTGTCCTTGGTCATCTGTAAAAGTTACGTCTGAGCGCTTTGATTGCTAGATGGAAAACTGAGATAGAATATCCTAGCTCTTGTACATTTTATTAACGACAGTTGTAATTTACTGTCATTTTCAAGGGGTAGAAAGACTCACCAGGAGTTGGAGCTACATGATAACTTAGCAATAGCTTTGTTATTTCAAGGGAGTTTGCCAATAATCCGTAGTCAGGTGAGAGGTGCAGCCCGCAGTCCCACCTCCCGGACCTGTGTCGGAGGGTGGCTTGTCTGTGGGAACACTGCCATCGTCCCCACCTAGACAACCACTTCGGTCCTCCTGGATTTTCCCTGCCTCCATGAGAACATCTTCTTCCTTGAGAAGTGAACATTTTTACATTTCTGCCTTGTTTACTACACACACAAATGTACTTTGCAAGGGCAGGCAACTGAGGCAGGGAACAGGCTGTCAGACGCTTCAGGGAGGGACAAATGCCCCGGGCCTTGCAGGATGGACCAGGGTTCGGAAGCTGGAGCAGGACAGAGGGAGGTGTGCAGAGGCAAGAACTCAGGAGCAGAGGAGGGGTTTGGGGCCTGGAAGTTGGGGTGGCAATGAGGCCAGACTGGTCCACAGAGACCTGGAACTGCTGGGAAGGGGCACCTATTCCTCCTGCAGCTTTCCAGTCAGAGCAGGACCCGGTTCCATTCTGTCTTGGTCCTGGTGAGGGCCTGCGTGGCTGTAGAAAGGTCCTGATCAAGTTGACAGTAACCCAAGGCAAACAGTTACAAACATGACCGCGATCTCAAACGAGCCCGCTGCTCTGGCATAACTGTGCAGCCATCCTGGGAGGCCAGGTCTGAGTGGAGAGAGCAGCCGGGCACAGATATGGGTGTGAGTTTGGGGTGAGCGTAGTTTTTCATTTGAGCCCTGCGGGAGGCAGTGGGATCAGAAGTGATCCCTTTGCCCCTCGACCTCTGAGAAGAATGGGAGACACCATCCTTTCCCCAAAGTGCCATTCTCTTTAGAGCAGTGGGTTTTCCAACTCTAAGGAGCGCGGAGTTCTGGATGGTATTGATTTTGATTTATTTATTAAGCGAATATACATTAGGTGCTTATCTCTGCACTGTTTGTTGAGAACAACAGCAGTGACAACGGTAGACCTGGGTACAGCCCACGCGTGCTCAGAAGAGCACAGCCAGCACAGGCCCCGAGCCGTGAGTTCCCAGAGCCAGCGGGTCTGCAGCTACAGGGGAGCTGCTGCGTGTGAGAGCCTGAGGGTACGGGAGCCTCACTTTTCTACGATAAATTTTATGAAACCTAAACATTAAGTATTTCTGATGGAAAATAGCACCCAAATTGAAATGTACTATAAGCATAAAATATATACCAGATTTTGAAGACTTATTATGAAAAAAAGAATGTAAAATATCTCATTGGTAATGTCTATGTTGCTTATATGTTGAGATAGCATTTTGTATCTGTTGGGTTACATAAATCATTAAAATTGATTTCATCTGTTTTTGTTTTTTTCTAAAACATGGCCACAAGGGGTGTTGAAATTACATACATGTGTGTATTATGTGCCATCGAATCAGCTCCGACTCCGGCAACCCTGTGAGGGAGTGATGTCCAGTGTCCCGTCCGCAGCAGCCCTGCTCAGCCCCTGCAGATACAGGCGTGTGGAGGCTTCTATGAGTCCGTCCGTCTCATATTTGCTCTTCCTCTTTCCCTGCTGCCTTCTGTTTTTCCCAGTATTTTTGTCTTTTCCAAAGAACCCTGCCTTCTCGTGATGCGCCAGACGTAGGACAGCTCTGTTTTGCTATTTTTGCCTCCAGCAATGTTTCTAGCTTAATTAGCTCTAGACCCACTTGTTCATCTTTCTGGTGGTCCATCGTGTCCATAGAGCTCTCCTCCAACACCATATTTTAAACAAGTCGTCTTTTCTCCTTAGTGAAAAAACAACACTAAGCTTCTAGAAGACAATTCATAACTTCTGGTCAGGGAAGGACTTCTTTTTTTAAATATATTTTTATTGATTTCAGAGAGGGGGAGAGAGAGAGAGAGAAACATCAATGATGGGAAAGAATCATCGATCAGCTCTCTCCTGCACACTCCCCATTAGGGATCGGACACACAACCCGGGCATGTGCCCTTGACTGGAATCAAACCTGGGACCCTGACACTCTATCCACCAAGCCAGGGCAGGGAAGGAGTTCTTAAACAAGATGCAAAAAGCTGTGACCACAGAGGGAAAGAGTCATACATTTGACTACATTAAATGAAGAACTCTTCCCCCAGTGGCAGGGCAAGCCATGGAGCGGGAGCAATACCAACAGCTGACAGAGGCGGCACGGGCAAACACGGGAGCCATGGTGCCACAACACTGAGCCTGTCAGAAACATAACAATGTCTGACAATGCCAGCTTAGCAAGTTTGGGAAACAATGTCATTAAATGGTAAGATTGAGAGTGCAAGTAGCCATTGCCCCAGCAATTCCACTCTTGTGTGTTTATATGTATGTTTATGTTCTAGAAAGTTTGTTCGTGTGTGCACCAAGGAAAAAAATTCACAGGCATGGCCAGAGTAGCATGCTCATAGCAGCTAGAAAATGGAAACCCCTAAAATTTCCTTGGGGCAGGAGGATGGATAGCATATGTAGAATGAAGTACACACACATCAACAGAAAACATTCTTGGGTTGCACCAACATAGCGAATCTCAACAGAATTGCAGTGTGATTCCAATCATATAGTGTTCAAAACTATGCAAAACGAAGCAATATGTGTGTGTGTGGTAAAACTAAATGGAAAAGCAAGGTGATTGCAAACCGGAAATGCAGCTCCTCACTCAGGAGGCATGTGTGTGTTGGGGGGGCAGAGGGGGCGGGGGGAGGGGGCCTGCTCCCCGTGCTCAGTGGTCAGCACATTGCATTTATTGTTTTTAAAACATACATAGACATTGGATGATCTCTTGTACATTTAAAAGAATGAGTCAGCCCTGGCTGGTGTGCCAAAGGGTGGTGGGTTCGATTCCCAGTCAGGGCACATACCCAGGTTGCAGGTTCGATCTTCAGTTGGGGTGCATGCAGGGGCTGGTGGGGAGGGGCAGCTGATCAATGTTTCTAACATCAATGTTTCTTTCTCCCCCTTTCTCTCTGAAAAATCAATTGGGAGGAGGGGAGAATGAGGCAAAATTAGCAAAATAAAAATTCCAGTAAATCATTGTGAAAGTAAATGAGACATGAGACCAAATCAAAGATTTTGAAGTGTTGCTGTCTGGTGTTGGGAGGGGGCCAGCACTGAGGGCTCTGTGGGGTTGGGAGACTGTGGGAGATCCGTGTTTATGGATGAAAATGGAAGAGCATAGTGGGAGAGGGCAGGACCAGGACTGCAGCAGGGACAGGAGGGGCGTGGGCCCTGGGCAAGCTGAGCAGGGACAGGGCCGCTCGCTTGATCCCAGGAGGAGGGTGGGTGCTCCCAGAGTGTGGATGCAGAAGGTGAATAGATGAAGGCCGTGTTCTTCATCCCCATCCAGCCGCCACGCAGGTATGGGGGAGGGGAGACGACGACAAAGGTGTGAGGACCACAGAGTGCTCACTGGGGGCGCACGGGACTGCCCGCCCCGCTCAGCCAGCTGCGTGCTTCTCTCCAGTAGAAGTGCCCAGACGGTGCATGGCCGCCGGAGTGGGGATGTGTGTGTGAGTGGGTTGGGGGGAGGGGGGTTCGCAGACAGGTACGTGAGGGAACAGAGGGCATCCGGCAAGGGTGTGGCGAACAGGCCACAGACAGAAGTGGGAACCGGCAGCGAGACCCCGCCTGGGATTCCCCTGCTCAGAGGCAGCCACTTTGCCCTCTCCTAGCTATTTCTTCTGGAATTACTTCCGCTATTCTTAGCGAAAGCGTGCCCATTTGCTCCCCTCAACCTTCCATCAAGCCCTGGGTTGTGCCAGTAACCCCAGCTGCCCAAATTCTGGGGGCAGGCTGGGGAGGGGTCTCTGTTTTCATTCTGGCCTCTGTGGGGCCTTCCGTGTAGACTGGGGGCCCTGGAATGGATTCCCTGGAGAACAAACCTGCCAGCCCCGGGCCAACTGCCCTGCTCCAGGATGGGTCCGCTGAACAGCAAGACGTCCTGGTGGGGGCTCTGGGGGCGCATTGGGCAGTGGGAGGCTGGCACAGGAAGATGGGCCGCTGTGGTGAGATGTGAATCAGTGCACCCCAGTCGCTAAGAGCCACAGGAAACGCTCGGCCATGCCCTAGCCCGTTCGGCTCAGTGGCTAGAGCGTCGGCCTGCAAGAGAAA